AGGTCCAGTGGGAATCATGCTTCCGTCCACATCCACGCAGGTGTGTGGCCAGGCCTCTCAACTGAAATCACAAACCAAGTCCTGATCCATGGCTTGCTTTTTAATTATATTTAATTTTCTGTTGTCGTTAATCTTCACCCGAGGATATTTTTTTCATTGATTTTTTAGAGAGTGGAAGGGAGAGGGAGAGACACAGAGAGAGAAACATTGATGTGCGAGAGATATATATTAATTGGTTGCCTCTGCACGTGCTCTGGGACTTTCACCCGAGGATATTTTTTTCATTGATTTTTTAGAGAGTGGAAGGGAGAGGGAGAGACACACAGAAACATCGATGTGTGAGAGATATATCAATTGGTTGCCTCTGCACGTGCTCTGGGACCAGGGCCGAGGATGGAGCCTGCAACCGATGTATGTGCCCTTCACTGGAATCGAACCTGGGACCCTTCAGTCCTCAGGCCAATACTCTATCCACTGAGCCAAACTGGCTAGGGCTATTTTATTTAATTTTTAAAATTGATTTTAGAGAGAGAGGAGAAGGGAGAGAGACATTAATATGTTGTTCCACTTATTCATTGGTTGATTCTCGATGTGCCCTGAGCAGAGTTCAAACCCATAACCTTGGCATATCGGGATGACTGCAAAGAGAAGTGAAGGTTGCAGGTGGAACTCGGCAGACTTTCAATAGGAAGATTGTCATGGGTTATCCCGGTGGGCCCCAGGTAATCACACACGTCCTTGAGAATGAACCAGGTAAGCAAAAGCCAGGCGGAGGGAAAGGCCACCCTGGGGGAATGGCCAGAGGTGCACCACCGCCTGACAGGCCAAGGAATGTGGGTGGTCTCTGGAAGCTGGGAAAGGCAACTTCCCAGGAAGGAACACAGCCCTGCTGACACCTTCAGCCCAGGGAGACCCCCGTCAGACTTCTATCCTACAGAGTTTTAAGATCACGTTGCGTTGTTTAAGCTACTCAATGTGCAATAATTAGTTACGGCAGCAACAGAAAACTAACACACAGGGTCACCCACATCATTTACCGAATCAGTGACATCTGTGCAATCGCTTTCCAGACCACAGATGGGAACCAAAAAACCCTGGACGGAAGCCCGGGCTCAACCCTCGCAGGCTGTGCTGACCCGGGGCCGGTCTCGGTTGCCTGTCTGTGCCAGGGGGCAGAGCTGCCTCCTGGGCGGTGGGAGCACATGACGGGTGAGTGGAGGGGGAGCGAATGGTCAGCGTGCTAGTGCCTTACACGGCTGCTGTACTGGGTGCAGGTGGCGAGGCCCTTCCTGCACTGCTGAGTTCTGAGAGAAGTGGCAAGCGGAGAGGTGCCCTTGGGCACGGAGGCCCGAGTACCACATCCTGAACTCATCTCACTGGCCTTTCTGGGAGAGGGCACAGGCCTTGCTGGTGGTCCTGGAATGTTGCAGGCCCCTGGACCTTCCTTCCTGGCCCCTGACTTTTAAAAAAAAAAAAAATTAATTAATTAATTTAAATCCTCACCTGAGGATATTTTCCCACTGATTTTTAGAGAGAGTGGAAGAGCGAGGGAAAGACAGAGAGAAATATCGATGTGAGAGAAACACATCGATTGGTTGCCTCCTGCATGCGCCCTGATGGGAATCAAACCCGGGACTCTTCTGTCCGCAGGCTGACGCTCTGTCCACTGAGCCACGGAGGCCCCTGACTTCTGACCTCCCCTCTCTGCCCTCACTCCCAAGGCCAATCACTGCCCTCCTCCCGCCGGCATGTGTCCCTGACCCAGCCCTGTCCAGGGTCATTGCCACACTCAGCAGGAGGCCCAAGCATCGGGGCAGGTCTGCAACTAGCCCGACCTGAATGCTGTGTTTGTAAGTTACACCCCCAGAAGTTGCAAGCGGCCAGTGTACCCCAGGGGGGCAAAGCTGGAACTGGTTGTAAAAATATTCATGATTATATTTACCAAATAGTATTAGTATAGAAAGATTAAAAGTATGTTAAAAATCCATCTTTATAGTCTTTGTAAAATACTCGGAAAAATATATATTTAAAAAATCACCCCAATTCTTCCCCGGAAAACGTCACTTGGCCCTCAAGTTTCCGACCTTCAAATCCCACTCTGTGCCCCTGCCTCCCGGGCTGCTCTAGATTCCGTCCCGGCCACTCACCTGCCCGCCCCGGGGCGGAACCGGTACCTGTTCGTGTCACTTGTCACCTCCCCAAGGGCAGCCCGACCGGGCCTCCCGAAGACTGGGTGCGGGATGGGGTGCGGGGCGGGACCCAGGTGACCCGCGGGGAGACCAGCCGGGGCCCTTGGCAGCAAAACGTTCCGCATCGCGGGGCCATGCCCAGCTCTCGGAGTTCGGGCAGAATTGGGTCGGAGCCGCGTGGAGGGCCGAGGGCGGGA